AAAACATTCGACGGAGAAAATGAGCAATCAATGTCCGGCCATTTTGTTTGAGGTTCACGTTGAAGAAGCAGCCGATCTCACGTTTAAACATTTTTATTATACATGTATAGAGATTTTTTCGCTCAAAAAAAAAAAAAAAAAAGGAAGAAAATTTATTATTGCGTTCACGTACAACAACCACCTTTCGTTCTTTTCCAAGTTCCGTTTTATTTTATTTTTGGCCATCTCTTTTCTTTTCTCTTTCTTTTCCCCAAAACGCATTCGACCGATAATTTCATTCGGATCTAGAAGGTGCCGGCCGCTTCTTCCTCTGCTATTACCATTCAGCTCGCGAAGATAAAACTATGTACCCCATAAAACCAACGTCACCCAACGACAATAGTTACACCCCATCTAGTCTTTGCACACATAATAATAATACTGTAATACAGTTTGCCAACCGTTCACGCTGCTAATAAATCCCTTCGTCAAAACGTAGACGACGTTGTGTACATTTTAATCCGACTAATTGCGGAAAACGCGATTTACAAACTAAGAACATATAATTAGAGCTGTCACGATACAGCAGACTTATTTTACAATGATTTTTACATTTAAGCACTTTACTTGGAAATGAGCATCTATTTTCAAATACATTTTTAATATTTGAATAATAGAACAGCTGCAAAACATAAAATATTTGATTACATAATAATTTTCTATAGTATAATAAACAATAAAATATAATTGATATTAAGATTGCCAAAATGAGCTATATTATTTTTGTCTATATATTTAAGAGGCGTATTCAATGTCCAAAAGGCAAGACCACTTTCAATATTTTTATAATATATAAAAACTAATCTATATTAGTTAAACAAATTTTTTTTAATTTACAAATCTTTACAGTTATAAAACGTTTTTATAGTTTTATTCTGGATATGATCGTATATTCATAGGGTATTAACAATGTTTTGATAAATATAAAATTTGTCAAAAAATTGTATTACTTAAAAAAAAAAATAATTCAGCAGGCGCTCAATTAGCAAAGAAATCAAAGAAATATTTTTTATAGATTATTACTAATAAGAAATCCTAATTTAACAATAAATTTAGATAATTATATATTATTTGTGAGTATCGAATAATATTCGATCATAATATGTTTTTATTCATATTTATTTCTATCACAACAATTAATTCTATGAGAGTAATATTACTTATCAACCGACAATTTAATTGTTAGACAATCAAGATTATTAAGTTACTAATATTACTCCAATAATATTAGCTGTTTGATAGGAAGATAGTGCTTTGATATTTTTTGTTATCATAAAACCATTAATCAAAACGAATCTTTGGCATAAAATACCTTTCTGATACACTGGTGTAACTATTAGAAATTAAACGGCACCCAAGGGATATCACAAGAGTTTCCGCGGAAAAAATGATTTACGATCAACTAATTAGCATTAAATAGGTTCCGAGTGAACTGAGATTCCAGCAAATTGCACTATAACTTGTTTGACGTTATTGTACTATAAATGAGACGAGGACGAAAATAACTTATGTCTAAATCAATGCAAAACTCTAACAAGCCAAATATAGTTTACATGAAATATTTTAAAAATAACAATTAATCATTTTCGATTTTAACGCGTTTCGCCCATAGATCCCATCACACGTTTGTTATTTTTCCGTCAATCCAAAGAACGATAAAAATGATTGTAAAACATTCCGGATGAGCGCCAAGATAAAAATAAACACATTCCATAAGCGCAAGTTAACTGGGGTCCGAGGTCATCCTATGAACACTGATCCGCCAATTTTTTTTTAAATCTGTTCAATAGTTTGATTTGAGAGCTAACAAATGTAAATTGTGTAACAATGTTACACATTTTATTGAAAATTCCAATTTTAATAGTTTAAAATTAATAATACTTTAATATTTGAAGTAATAACAAAATTATACTATACTGTTTATAAAATGTAATTATTATAATAGTATTATATTTATAAAGCGGAGTATAATAACGGATCAATTAAAGAAATTGGTAATTTTCTAACTACTAACTTGGTAACCATTAGTTACTTAAAGTAATCATACTTTTCTAAGCATCTAAAATTATATTACAATAGGTAAATTAAATTTTTCTTATTAATTAAGAATATTACAATAATGTACAAATATCTAAAATTTATAAGACATATTAAATTATTTAGATGTTATTCATTTCAAAATCGCCCTGTAAGTAATTCCAAATGAGTTTATTTCGTTTTTTTTTTTTTAATTTTACTATAGCATTGATAATTTTTTTTGTTAAGACTGATTATAAAATAGAGCCGATCCGACGAATGGTTATAATGAGTCACGCTGAACCAGTTGACAGCGTTTTTGGACAAAATTGGTGGAAAAATGTAATAGATAAAAAAACTGGTAATTTATTTTAATATTGCCCCAAATTTCAAAAATAATTATTTCAGTTTTGTATAAGAATAAAGTTTTGTTCTAACTAATAGAGTATAAAAACAATTTCCACAAATAACTGAGACCATGGAATTTTTTTTCATTTATCTAAATCTTTAAAATTATAAGAATATTGTATGTTTTAACTAGATTTATTTTTGAAAAAACTGAGAAGTTATATTATACATTATATTTCTAAAGATCAACAGAGATTTAGGGATTTAATGTGTTTTTAAAATCAATTAGAGTAACAATTTAATTAATTTTAAAATAATTGTACTAATATAATAAAAATTGTGGCAAATTATTTTTAATTTTCATTAATTGTGTTGAATCATACATCAAAACTATGAGAAATATGAAGTGAAGTTGGATTTTACAGGATAATTTTGGGGAATGTTTTTCATTTGTATTTTATCATTTACATAGGTACATACGTTCGCAAAGATCTTAACCTTCCCACGGATTTGATTAAAAGAAACCAAATGGTGGATTACCAACACGATCCTCCACTGACAGTAATTGGTGAATTTCAGTCTGAGTGGGTGGGTTATTCACTTTTGATCAACACAACTGGCTTCAACTTTAAACACGTATTTGCTTCGTGTGCTTTAAGGAGCGTCCTGACGGCAACTCACTTATTGAAAGGTACGTGACCTGGGGCTCTGTATTTCACAAAACGAGCACAAAATGTTGGTAATCTTATATATTTTTAATGATTAATCTCTTACGTTTAAATAAAATTCAATAAATATATAAAAAATTAAGTACTTTAAATACTGCGGAATCATCAACATAGAAAAATATTTATTTGTTGAATAAATTGAGCATAATTGTTAAATATATAATGAAATTTATAGGAATGGAAAACACTAATTTGAAAATTAACATTGAACCTGGTCTATATCATTGGCCACATTGGAACCAACGTGTAGTACCCAGTTGGATGAGTGACAGCGAGTTCAAAGAAACGGGTCTAGTACCGGTCAATAATTACACTTCAAGCTACACAAGGCAGATGTTACTCGAAAAAATCCCTTCGGAGACATTCGAAGAATACAACAAACGTATTGATGAACTAATGGTTACTATTTGTAAAGCAACTGAAAATGATTGGGGAGATATTTTGGTGATAGCTCATCACGATAGTATTAATGTATGTTCTAGAAATCTTACTGGAAAACCTAGATTGAAAAAACCACATACAGCACTAGTAGAAAAATTCGCTTTTTGTTCAATGTTAACAATATTGCAGAAATTAAATTCTAAATGGGTGATCGACTATGATGTTTTGCCCAACTTTACACACTTATCAAATATTGGATTTGATTATATTGTAAATGACAAACTAAAAGATAAGCTTACAAAACAATAAAATGTATGCCAAAACCTAAAGGTTTCAAAGGTCTTTGAAATTTCCATCAAATGTGGATGTCTGGTGAAGTGAAACATTTCAAACTTTTAAAAATTCGTAAAACGAATTTTATTATTTCGATGTAACTTACAGTATACAACATGCAAATATAATTAATTAATTAGCGTCAGATAAGTTTACGAGAAACCTTTTTTGAAATTAAAACCCTATACTGTTGATCGAGGTTAATTGTGTTGCCACGTGTTTGCTATGAGCAAAACAAACAAAATATAAATTGTTTCACAAAGAGCGTACGTGCTTATTGGCTGATTTAGGAGGGTGTTATACAAATGTTAAACTTTGTATAGAGTTTATTTATTTATTGCTTTATTATCGACAAATATCATTTCATCATATAAATAGTAATATTACGAATGATACATTTTGAATTCATTTCTTTGGAAAGTATTTAGGCTATACATTTTTTTGTAAATGTTAACATTCTAAAAAAAAATATATGACTTCAAGCTCATACCATGTCAAATTATCCACATTAATTTTTGAATTATTATTCCTGGAATTATTTTGTATAATTGAGTAAAAAAGTAAATATTGAAAAAAATTTTTGCCGTTGAAAAATTATTTAAATATTTCGTTTCAAAATTTGTTAAAAATTTTATGTGAATTTGGTTTCTTTGACTGAATACTTCATTAAAAAATTATGTACAAAATGAAAAAAAAATAATCCTACAGTTACTTGGTTAAATTTTATATGAATTTATTTCATAATAAGTATACTTATAAATAGCAATGGATTGTACAATATATTTTTCACTCACTAGTTTTTAAGAAATTTGTGTCATTAATAATATCAATTAACTAAATATGCATTTTATAAATCGCAATAAACTGTGCGATTACAGTATGACTTTGATTAATTGGGTATATGTAGTATTAAAATTTCAATTTATTTTCAACAACGACTTATAATTAAGTGCCACAGGGGTTGATAGAATCAAATTAAAAAGTTTTTGATTTGTTTGTGGCCCAGATTGATGATCTCATTAAACCAGTGCCGTAATTAAAACATGGAAGCCTTGGAATTTCGTAATTGATAATAGCGACCCTATCTTGATCGGATCCTAATGTCTTATATAATAAAATGAGCAATTATAAAAACAACAATAGTTTTTAACTCACCACTGCTGTCGGAACTTGTCCGGGTACGATCTGTTGACTTGCCGCCATAGTCATTTGCTGCATCAGTGCGTTTTTGAGTGCTAAATGATTGCGACCATTTATCAGTAGTTGATCTTTGAGATGCTGGGGAGGATGAAAATACTTGCATGGTGGTTTTTCTCTATTACACCTGCCCTGTAAAATGAATAAAAATTAAACCATAAGAAAAGTTTACAAAGTTCGATCACAAAATAATATTGGAATAAAATGAGAAGTACATTATATGTATGCTAATTTGGAAGTATAAGTTTTAATAGGATTTTTTATTATTAATTTGTATAAATTAGTTATTTATTAAAATATAGTGCGAGATGAGGATAAGCTTCTATGATTTTTTCTGGTCTTTCTGATAAGAATTATAATCTCAAAAATGCTAAAAAAAAAATCTTAGAACTTCTTTCTAGTACCATGCATTTTTTTGATTATCTTTTTTATCTTCTAAGAAACGAAATATGAGTACTCATAAAAATGATTATTTTAGTCATGTTCCTAATTATGAGGAAATATGACGATCGTATAACTTTGTAACCAAAGCTATTGTAAAAAAAAAAGAGTCTCTTATGAATTAAGTAGTATTAAGAGTATATTTAATAGTGAAAATTGAAAAAATTACTTTATATTACTTATGTCTAAAGATTTGATGTTCAAAAATCATATTAAAATATGCTGAATATGGATTTCTAACGACAACTAAAACTCTAGGTGCGCGCACGTATGTTAGTATTAGTGAGTCACAAGGTGTATCACAAGAGGCTTTTATGCTAGTTAACTTACTATATGTATCGATTTGAGGTATGCTGTATTTGTTATATTACTCGATTTATTAACTTACCTTGCTTTAATTTACAATAAATTATTGTTTGAAAAGTACTTTGGAGCTTAAGTTTTATTTTAATTTTTTTTTCATTTAAGTGTAAATTACTTATATTATAAAAGAAATCTGTTCTTTAAGTTCTTGCTACGTAAGATATTACATATTCAATCGGGATTAACAAATTTTTGAAAGCTATTCTTAATTTATCACCCACTTCTTTGGATCCTTATGATATTAAACAGAGATTATAAATTACTTTAAAAATCTTCTAAGTAACAAAAAAAAAAAAGAAGTATAATTTATTAATAAGTGTTTACAATTTTTCGTTACAAATGCAATTATTAATTTACGTGTTGTAGAAAATATAAGATTGCGTAAAATGACGAATTTAGAACTTTTAAAAATCAGTCACATATAGTAGCACATTTTAACTAGCTTAATGTAATACACAATAACTATACTCGATAGTTTAAAAAGACTTGAGCGTACGTTAATTTTAGATTTGGGTTTTTGGATACAAATTCATATTTAGCGTGGTTTGATATAATCAATATTTTAGATTCTAATCATCATCATCTATTAAAGGCAATGCCTTGTCGTTGAAGCCACTCTTCTCCGTTTGATGCCAAATTCTTCAGTGAAACAAAAGCCGCACAATTCATGAGTTCCAGGGTATTTTAAAAATATTGTTTCCTTGGGTGTCTTCTTGGTTTCTTCCAGTTAATTTTCCTTCAAAGGTGTTGATAATAAAGTCATTGTGTCGGATGATGTGTGCGGCTAACTTTATTTTTCTTAATTAAATCATCTTTATTAGTTGTTTTTCTTTTCGTAATTCTTCTAGCAATTGCTCATTTTTTTTCTTGTCTATCCATTTTGTCTTTGTCATTTTTTTTCCATATCATTAACTCTAATGTTTCTAGTTTGCTTCTGTCTTTCTTGTCCATTGTCCATGTTTCCTTGCCATATGAAAGTACACTCCAGACAAATGTTTTAACGAATCTATTACGTAAGCCAATGCTCAGATGTTTATTTGTGAGAAGCTGATTCTTGTTTTGGAATGTTTAATTTGCCAATGCTATTCTTCTTCTGATGTCTGGTATTGATTTGTTATTGGAAGATATGATACTTCCAAGGTAGCAGAATTCTCGGGCCTGTTGTAATTGTGTCTTGTTTATTTGTGTATTAAGATTTAGATCTGAATGCATTTTACTTAGATTCTTGTGTATTACGGCAAATTGTTCAAATTTTTTAATTAAATATTCTAAAAGTACTACTTAATAACAATAAATTCATAAGAGATTCATTTTTATTACGATAGTTTTGATTAAAAAATTGTACGTTCGTTTTCGTCGTCTTCTTCCATATCCGGAGAAAGATAACGATAATGACAAATTTTCAAAAGAACTCATATTTCACCCCTTAGAAGATGAAAAAGGCGATTGAAAAAAATTGTAATGTTAGTGATATTATTTTAAAAGAAATTACAAATAGTGATTGATAATAAATCAATCAGTCTATATAATGCCGCTAAGTGTATTATTATTTTTATCTTTGTCCTAATTAACGTTTTAAAGGTTGACCGAATCGTGACAAAAATATTGAGATAATTTCAAAAGTGACCAAAAATATGATATTTTAGATGGCATAAGATTTACTTAAAAACTGGAATTAAGGATATTTTTCATTCGATAACCTATGTTTAAATTTTAATTCAATTACTCAGAAAACCAATTTAGATGGTTCTATGTATTTCATAGATGAAAATTGTTTAATGGCTGTTCGGTGTAGGTCGAGGTACATAATTTATGTACACTGCAGTATACATTTGATGAGAAACAACGGCATACGTTATACATAGTGATTTATTAAGCATACTACTCCATTTTTCGTTAAATAATTATTTTTTCATAAAAATGTATAGATTAAAGTTTAATTTATTTTTATATACCATTGTAAATATAAGTATATTGTACAAAAAAATTATTCCTAAAGATAAATTTTAGAGATAACTTTTGGAAATTAAATGGAAACCTATTATTATTATTATTATTTGTTAACCATTAAATGTATAATGTTCTAAATAAACTTTTGATCGGTCGATAACGAGTTTTGTATTATTACTTTTAATGATATATTAGAATTTAAAAATTTAGAAAATATAAAAGCGTTAGTGTTAAGCATGTTTGATTTTTACCATAACGCATAGACCATAACTAAAACTATACATAACTAAAACTAAACTATAAAAAATAAAAAAGGAATAATTTAATACGGTTATTATATTATAAATACTGACCTGTCAATATTTTATTTAGACTATTCTTGATTTAATAAAAAAAAAAAATTATAACAGGTTCCCATTTAAATTTCTAAAATTACCCCTGATATCTACGCTTATTATATTCAAAATTTTATTTAAATTAGGTAATTTACTATTATATTTTTCCTTTTCATTATAAACATTTGAAGCAAACAATAAACAAGCGTTTTTCTTTCTGATGAATCTAAATTTTAGACAGTATTGTTAATAATTACTTGTCAGTAGATATGCATCAGAAATACTCTATTACAAATGGGATTTAACGTGTTTAAAACACGCCAGTATAAAAATTCTAAAAATTGCAATCAACTATTAACATTATATAGGTGCAAATAGTAGGTTTGTAGCGTATACACTATATATCCACTCAATATAATAAAATAGGCGAAGTGAACATACACAATAGTACGAACTGTATCCAAACGCGCTATATAACCAATCTTTGTATTATAATGCTTATACCTCAATAACTATTTATCCTAAAGTTATAATCTACCTATAAAAATGTTTTGTAAGAAAAAATAGCAGAAAAATGACCATTTTGAAACTTGGAGAAATAAAAAATATTTTTAAACGTAATCCAACATAGTAAAAAGTATTTATAAAAATAAAGTAAAGCAAGATAATCACTAAATCAATAAAACGTTAACTCATAGTAGGTTTCTTTGATAAATGTTAAACATAATTGTAGAAATGTATTTAGGGAAGAACACAGGTTGTACCCTGGGTGTTTAAATTGTCGAGGGCGTTTTTGATGTGTAAATGTCTGAATAAAAAATCACAATTATTTCTATGGAATATGTATAAAAAATTAGAACGCTGAATACTTTTAGAAAGACGAGAGCACTTATCATAGCTACTTGCGCCATCTCAAATGGAACTACTTCTACCCCATGGAAAGCCAATGGATATAGGAGATAGGCTCAATAGCATTGATTTAATTATAACTAACAGAATAAAGAATTCAAATAATAAATGTAAAAATTACAAATTCAAAAATATAATATTAATAATTCATTTATTATAGCAACATATGTTGTTGAAATAATTAAAAGTTTTCTACTCAATTCAATTCCAAGTCTTATTAGAGAATTTGAATAAAAAAAAGTATGTAAAATAGTATGAGTGCACTTAATCCATTTTAAATTTGCATATATTACTTTATAAGTTACCAACTTGTATAGATAAGTTTATGTACTATGAGAGTAAGAAAAACTCAGTACATGTATTACAGTTGATATTTATGAGATAATGTAAGAAATTCTTTTTGCTGTAGCTTTAGAGTTATCAGCAACATTATAATGAAATCATATAACTTTTATTTTTATGATAGTTTTTTAAATTTAGTGTAAATAAAGTCTATTATAAGAATTAATCACTTGTGGCTAATTAATTAAATAATTTTTTTATTTATTTTAAGTCTATTAGTTAAATTAAATAGTTTTCAAATAGTTAACACAATTAATATTGTTGGATAATACAATTAAATATTATTATTGATATAAATCCGTCGTATAAACGTCATAAAGATAAAACATGAACGTGCTTGCATCGCATCTATCGATAAAGATGATAATAAGATATATATTTGGTCTGCAAACAAGTAACTTTGAATATATATAAAACGATTATTTGATTGATACACGTGCCCTTTATTTACTAAGCGTCAAATAAACACAAAAAGCAATATGACTGTGGTTTACCTCACCCGTTTGTTTTCGTCAAGAGACAAAATTATTGATTGAATGTTCACTTTAAAATGACAAAAATTTTTCAAGATAAATTTTTACATTACCAAAATTATATAAAGATATATTTGTTTGCTATTGTAAACAAGCTTTTGCATTTATAGCAGTTTTCAGTTACCTGAAAACTGTTCTCTTTTTAAATGCATTTTTAGATAACAAAGCTATTATTAGTATTTATTTCTGAAACTTTCAATAAAATGGTTTTGTACTATTAAAAAGATAGTGTAAACTCCAAATATATATAATGTTAGAA